AAGTTTTTTCTTTTTTTCTTACTGCATTCTTGTGTTCTGTGATGCGTGCATTTATTCTCCTGTTTGTTTGTCCTATATATGTATAAAAAGGAATGCAAAATGGGTCTCAAGGTTCTTTTCATAGGGAGATCCCACTTTATTGGGATATCCTAATACATTGCTTTTAAATGACCTAACCCCTCGGTTGCTTACTGGGAATATAAACTGAGGCAAAACCTAGAGCCAAATCTGGCTATTACTCCTCTGAAGGATAGCTGCTGGGAGACTATTAGGCTTTCTTGTACTTTCTTGGGTATTATGAGATCACTGATTAGATGGGATACGGTCTGGCGGAGCACTGGTTGCATTTTTATGTTCCACTATGGATGACCATATTGCATAGATATCATCAATTACTGCTATAGGTTGGACCTACTGCTGTAGCTAATGTAGCAATTTATTCCATTACTGCTGGGTTTGGAATTTTCTTTTCTTGTACTCTGCAAAATTTTGTCTCCTCATGCAGAAGTACTGCAGGGAATCTGTAGGTTTTCTATAATTCTACATTCTACTGAGCTGGGAAGATTTGAGGGTGATACAATAATACTTTTCTTTCCTTTCAGTGCCTGTATTTTCCTTTTCAAAAGGTGCTATTAACAGATTTGGATGAATCTGAAATACACTCAAGTACCTATCTGGGAATCTCTAAGATATAAGAGTTAAAGATTAATGCTGACTCATTCATGATGCTTCATGGATGAGTGGTGTTCTTGCTTCTGCTAGGGTTGATTTTTGGTGAGACAACAGCAGTCCACCTTAATTTATACAACCCAGTGACATAATATGAGAACAAAATCATACAATAGGTTCATATGAGTGATACAATTATTTTAGAATTGTATGTTAGTTTTTTATTTAGCTACTATTGCATTATTTATAACTTAAATTTCAAAATGTTCATATTACCTATTTTTTATGAAAAAGAATGGTTCCCCAAATGCAGTAATTTCATTTTGAAGTCATCCTCAAAAGCAACATTATATCTGAAACTGTACTGAAGAACATCAGGCACTTGAAGAACAGCAGAGTTAAATTGAAGCCTCCTTCTGTAGACTTCTGCAATACCTGCAATATAATCATCTTACATTGCTCTTCCAGGAGTTCTCACTTAGTTATGCTATTCTCTTCAACTATTGTATTTTATGTGGATTTAAATAGAATCTTATCATTTGCTTGGGGTTTGGGAAATCAGATATAATTTCAAATTAACTTAAAGTAATTGTAATGTCACAAGATTGGATAGAATAAACTGTATCAGCAAACTGTATGGAGACAAAAAAATACCACTGTAAGGCAAAAAATACCCCTCGGCCACAGCCCATTACCGGGCCATAGCCTATTCAAAACTGGGCTGCGCAAGCAATGGGCCAACATGCATGTCTCCATGCAGAGCTTAACTTATGAAAGCAGCAGGCCAGTGTGCACATATGCACAGCTCAACTCACACAAACAGTGGGTCAACATACACACATGTGCATGCACTGGCCCTGGCTTGCTAAGTTGAGTTGTGTGTGCATGTGTGTGCACGTCAGCCTGCCACTTGCACAGCCCAGTCCCCCCCCCCCACTGCTCTCCCAAGCTGGGCCGCCAAGCTGCAACGGTTGGGGACCACTGTTGTAAGGAGTTACTTGTGAATAAAATGAAACAAATAACAAGTAGCATAATTTTTTTTCAAAAACTCTCAGAGAAAGTGGAAGTACTGTATATTAAATAATTATTTTCCTACAAGAAATATAGGCATTATAATATGTTGCTGCATTTATCTAAACAGATGCAAATCATTAATCCTCAACAAAGTTTAATTAACGTCAGACTTTTAAATCCTCATGACTATCAAAATTTAAAAAGAAAGATTTTTATTGTATGATATTACCATGATACTGGAGACATTCAAAGTGACTGTTTACTATGGTTGGTTGAATAGTCAGCCAGATGTTTAGACTGGATTTGACATTTTTATCCACCTAACCTAATGATGGTGGTGGCATGATGACAATGATAATACGGAACTGAGGTAGAATTGTGCCCAGATTTTATCTAAAGAAACTTAATTCTACTAACAGAAATATGACAGGGGATTCCACTACATTCCTGCAGCATTCAAAATATCTGAAGCCAACCCAATAGCACACCTTCTCTATGGTGCCAGACAATGCCCATTTCCAAATTTGCACCACTAGAACTTGTTCTGAACAGATTCCTAAGATTGTTCTTTCAAGTCTCTAATACCACCTTGAGTCTAGAGACAGGCCTTGTGAAAGTGGAGGCTAGAATGTAGGCAACCATAATCAACTACTGGCTTAGATTATTCTTTTTCCTTTTTGGCTTTCCCTCCACTTACTATAGGAATGATTTTTCAGTCTACAAATAATTAAAATCTAAAATATAATGACAACTAAAATCTCATCCTTGGGGTCCTTAGGATCTTCTCCAGCATAGGATATGATCAGGCTGTAGTTCTCATTCAACCCTGTAACAGACACAGAGCACCAACTTGATCTATCCAGGTTCTCATCTTATTTTTTCCAGTGAACCCAACAGGTTTTCTGCTTCCCTTAGGGCCGTGATGGCAAACCTATTGCACATAACACAGAGCCTCTCAATGGGCATGCAAGCCGTCGCTCTAACTCAGCTCCACCGCACATGTGTGCGTGTGTGCCTCCTGCCGGCCAGCTGATTTTCGGGTCTCTACTGCACACACAAGAGATATGCATGCATGGCGGGAGGTGGGTCACACACATATGCATGGGGGTGGGGAGTGTGGCGGGTACATCACCCTGCGGCCCATTTTTGGTTCCAGGAGGCTTCAGGGAGGCCTGTTAGGCCCAAAACAGGGGGGTGCACTGGGGGGGTTGCACCTGTATGTGCGGGGGGGGGGAAGCACAGGGGGTCACATGCCCATGTGCAGGGCACGCAGGGGTAGTGTTGTGCATGCATTGTATTATGGGTGTGGGCGTGGGCGTGCGTTATGTCACATGTGCGCACTTTCGGTACATGGTGACAAA